ATTTTAAAAAATGAGTTATTTACCTGTACTATTTCAGAATTATGAGATTCGACACGTAACTTCTCAGCATTGACTTCGTAAACAACTTGCTCAGCTCTACCCCGCGCAAGTTGTGCAGCTCGTAGTTCAGATTCGAGCGAACTTATACGCTGTTCGTAAGCCGAAAGTTGGCCAATCAATGTTGTACGCATTTCTATGTCTGCTTGAGTAGCAACTATACTGGACGATCCATAAACCTGCCTGCACAGAGCGGTCTTGTAACCATACGAGTGTTTCGATTCAAAGTAAATAATTTTTAAAAGTAATGGCAGTCGGCAACTATGATACTTTTCAAAGCCTCATTGAAAAACGACGCCGCAATTCATAACAGTGGAAAAAACAAACTGGAAAGCTGGATTCATATAAACAACAGGAGGCTTCCTATCGTGAGCTGACAAGGAACCTGAAGGACTACGACTACGTGTTTTATGACGTCGACGTTTATGCGAAGATTTGTGATGGTGCCGTTCTTTCCGATCTTCATAAGATGGTGAACCATGCTTAAAGTAGCTTCATAAAAAAGTGTAATGAATACTCATAGCAGAATAAAAAATTGAAAGCAAAAAATATTTGGAATTAGCCTTTGGAAAGTTATGTAAGAAGCTTATACACAAATGCATTATACGACAGAAAATAAAAAGGAAGACTCAATACGAACTGAACTATGATGATGTCGATAACCATTTGACCGTTTCCGATGAGACGCTGTCGATTCCATCAACAGTGAGACCCACGTAAAAACTGTCTCTAAAACCGATTAATTTCTTCAAAGAGGTTTAATATAATATCAAAAACGTTGATAAACCAATCTCGACACTCTGACTTTTTGTGAAATCCATTCTGTTGGTGAAATCCATAGTTTAATCTTTATTCAGAAGACTACTCCCTGGCCTTAAAATCATTACTGAAATTACACGACTACTCTATAACAAACAGCAGTTACCTGGCAAAGAAGACTTCGCTCCACCTAAAGAACCAATGTATACAGAATGAAGTCACAGCATTTAAGACCGCTTCGTTAATCTCTAAAAAACAGCCAAGAGCTTCTTTTGTTTGCGTAAAATCCTATCAGTTCACAGAACTTTTTACATCTGTTTGTCCTTGAAAATACTTTTGAGGAAAGAAAAAGGAGAAAAAACTAAGGTTACTGGGAGAAGAAAGGAGAAGAGAAAAAAAAGAACTAAACTCTTCTTCTATTTAGTTAAAACACATACTAGATGGCAGAATTTGCTCGTATTTCTTCAAATGCTACAGATATAGTTTTGTGCAACAGAAATATTACAGACAGAAGAACTTAAAATATCGAAAAGTCTGAGAAAACCTTGCTGCAGATTGACAACTATGTTAAGGCTCTGTGAGTGAATCTGCTAAACGCTATGGCAATCGGACTCCAGGAGCAACACTATCAGTTACCTACTGCTACTTCTTCAACGGTTCATAATCGAACCTTTTCGGTAACAGCTTTCAACAATAGCCTCCAACTTTTGTTCACCTAAACAACTTTTAAAGTATCAAAATCATTATACAAAAAGCAATGACGACAAAAGTGACATCTTTAATCAAGAGAAAAACTTTAACAAAAAACAACAAAATTTTTTAACATTTCTCCATACCAATAACAGTAGGATAACGCTTCAGATACATTTTATAAACAATAAAGACAAAAAAAAATAAAAACACAAATAAAAGGAGAAAACTTCATTTTCAGTAATTCTGTAACAGCATCACTAAATGAGGTGTAATAAGTCAATTGTCAATGATTATCGTGTTCATCTTTCATTACATCAACCATAAAACAACAGCTCTGGAAAAACTTGTCGTTCCCCTTTCCTCACCAAACGCCAAAGATTGGCTCATAACTGAAAATAAAAAAAAAGAAACCCTTTCATCTCCTTCCCTTAACACTTACTAACACTTTTATGTACATTATATATATA